AACAACCCTCTGTCATGGGCCGCCGTGCACTCTCTGCTGCAGAAAAAGTAGCACGACAGAAACAACGGGAAGTAGCAGCCCAAGCTAGGCAAGCGCAGCGCATTGAAGAATGTGCTCAAAACCCCAATATCCGTCTTATACATGCTCCCCCACCCCCAGCCGAGCGCGATCAAGCAGTGTCAGGCCGGCCAAGACGCCAAAGCCCACGACTCATCCATGACAGACCTCCTTTGCCAGCCATCGCGGCCCGCATAGACCCGCCGCTTATTGAGACCCCCGCTGCACTAACACGACTGCCGGAGCTGCCGCAATCAAGGCGCCGGAGCCCCCGACTCGTGGTTCCGACCGGATTAATAGAAGCACAGACAGATCTACCACCAGTCGTGCGACAGGATCAGGAAGACCAAGAGTCCCTAACCGTTTCGTTCTCTGCCCTACATCTATGCAGCCAGGGCGAGGTGGATCAGAACGAAGACCTAGTAAGCGAGGGCCTGTGCCAGGATTCAAATGAGCCTGAGCAGGAAGTGCAGACAAGCCCTGTTTTATCTTGCTCTCCCATTCCTGTTGGCTCTTCTGTGGTCTCTTGTGATGCTATATCTCGCCCCTCATCGCCGTCTTCGGCTGCCTCCACCCCTTCGTCTCCCACCCCCCCCTCCTTGGACTGGTCGACTTGGTCTGGGCTGTCAGATCGGATTGACCCACCAAGTCCAACTTCATCTTCTGCATCTCAGTCATCTGGTCAAGGCAATCTGATCCTTGTTGGATTCCTCTAAGCTATTCATAGCCAGGAAACAGCAGGAGGCGAGGACTTTCTCCAAGAGCAAGGCAGGGTGTATGAGGATGTATTTAAGACGTATTTCCGGAGTGAATGTCAATGTAAGCGTCCCTTAGTTATTGTATCTGCATTTGTATCTGCCTTATATATAGTTATGAGAAGAGCGAATACTGACTATAAGGGCATAGGTGCATATGAACACGATCCGGAGCCAGAACAGACGCACAGCCTGCAGGAGAGATCTCAGTTTCTCCAATGCTCCTTGCCTCCTCTGTCGGATGTGTTCGGCGGTGGCGATGGCACCTTTGACCCTCGAGCCTCGTTCCATCAATGGCAGAACCTGCTCTCTAACCGACCGTCAGAGCCGCTGTCCTTCTGCAAGACCCAGGCCAGCCTGCCTGACGAATCGATCACCATCACGAGGCAGTGGGACATTGACAGCATATGGCTCGGCGCAAAGGACCTGTCAGCAATCCAAGACCCTGGTGGGTTCTATCTTTCCTTCATGCCCCCTCACAAGCGCAACCTGAGCACCGATCAGGTCATCCAACCGCACGGGCTGGACCTGGCCCACACGCGGCACATCCATATCGGCTCCTTCACCACTGCTAGCACCCGCTTCTCCGTCCTCCTCTTCTTTCCTCGCACAGCAGCCGGCAAGAAGACGTCGGCGTCGTCGAACAGCCTTTCACTCGATCGGCAGCGGGACCTCTACGACGAGATCATCCTCCCGGCAGCCTACGAGACCCTCCCGGACCACGCGCGACAGGAGATTCCCAGCTCCTACGACCTGGTATATGCCAAGTCCCGCTCTTACCAGGAGAAGCCCGGCTCGAGCCGGTGGTGTGCCGAAGATGAGAGCCGGGCCTTTCACCTCAGCTACCATATCCCCCGGGAATCCCTCGCAGCTTTCTGGGCGTCGGTCGTGCGAAGGGCTAACGCATGCACAGTCACTACCCGGCGCGGCGAGGCCTTTCCCTATTTCGAGAACCCGCGCCTGCTCTTCCAGTCTCACGACTTGAAGAACGTCTTTGCCCGGCCGAGCCTGCACGAAAGCATGACCCTCCTTCGAGATATGGTCCTCATCAGCCTCGACCCGGCCCAACTAGATATGCACTCCTGCTGGCTGGATATTGGGAACCGAGACTGGGTTCAGCAGCCGCCTCGGTCAGAGCCTGACCAAGGATCCCAGGAGCCTTGGACGCTCCTCTGGAAGAGCCGTTGCCACGAACGGCTGCACGAGGAACTGGCCGCGATCGCACCAAATGCGGCGTCTCTGCGGCCGACCCAGTTCCAGACGTGCCTGCTTCGCGACATAGGCACCTACACGGCCAAGGCGAAACCCACACGCACGGCTAACGCGGGGCACCCGGAGGCGAGGGCGCCCGGCATCATCCGGGCCAAGGCGTACAACTGCTACAAGGAGCTCTTCGGCGTCATGTACAGCGACTATCAGCTGTTCGGGTCCAGCTTCCTGCCCCTTCTTGCCTTTGACCAGGGCATGATTCAGGACCTTTCCTCCGCCAGCCAAGGCCGCGACCGAGCCTCGGTGAACCAGCTCAACCGCAACTCCATCGCCCGCGCGTGGGAAGCCAACAAGCGGCACCTGCGCGCCATAAGCGAGGCCCGCGTGCCGGCCAACTACGGCATCAGGAAGGAGGTCACGTTCCGGCTGGATGCGGTCCTGGCCATGTGGGGCAACGGCGCCTTCGACCCGGCCCGCAGCCCCCACACGGCCCGGCTCTCCCGCGTCGTCCCGCTCCGGCCCGGCGAGGGGGCGGAGGGGGGCCGACCGCACCACTACCCCTTCTGGGCCGTCCCAACCCGCGTCATCAACACCCTCGTCGCCACCCAGGCAGCCCGCTTCGTGCTCCCGCTCGACCACATATTCCGAGAGGCAGCCTCGTTGCCTGCTGCTGCGACGAAAAACCATCGAGGCCAGCCCGGCCCCTCTACATCATCCCCTATCCAGCAGGTCCTCGGCTTCTACACCGCCCAGCTCCTGTGCCGCCTCCTCACCTACAGCCTGACCAGTGAGACAGAATACTCGTTTGACAACTGGATTTGGCTGTCGCGATGGACTGTAAAGGCCAAGCCTCCGATGAAGGGAGCCGGAAGAGCTGTACGCAAAGAACGCCGCGGTCTCGGCCTCCGCGCGCCCCTGGATGCGACCGGCATGCTCTGGATCCCGAGCGGCCATGTCAACTGGCAGCAAGGCCACCTCTCCATCCAAGTCCTGCTCGACCTCTACATCCCTCGGAGCCCGCTGCAAGCCAAACTGGCGCATCAATCCAGCCTGCAGGCCTTCACCACCTCGCAGGTCACGGTGGAGTACCTGCTGAAAACCTGGCTAGGCGAGGCTCGTCAGAGGCTCGACCAGGGGCAGAGGGACCAGGGCATCGACCTGATGCAGAACGCACTCGAGCTCGCTGTGGAGGAGGTGGCCCGAGCCTACCATCAGCATCTCCTCGCCAAGCTCGCGTCGTACTGGAGCCGGGCCCGAGACCAGGTCGGCCGCCAGCGGTTGGGCGATTTGATCCCGCTGCAGAAGGCTCAGGAAGGGTGCGTCGCCCAGCCTGCCAGAATCGTCACGGCCCGGACCATATGGGAGATCTACTGCGAAGCGTGGGCCATGTATACCCAGGTCGTCGGCCAAGAGAACGGCACGGCCGCGGAAGAGACCCTGCCGCCCGAGCTGCCTTGCTGGATGTCCACGCGGCGGCACAAGCCACCAAAGAACAGCTGGTGCGACTTTGTCTTCGACCAACTGTTCCACCGGCCTACTCCACCCACATGGAAGAACAATCACTTCCTGCAGCTATACGAGACATACAAGGGGATTTGGGAGACGGTCCAGGACTACGCCAAGCCATTTGACTACTACTTTAGCCCTCAGATCGGTCGCTACATCATGGTGGCCTTCAACAGCGACAAGACCAAGGAGGTCGGCACGAGGCATGGCGAGGATACCTGGCACCACAGCAAGCCCGCCTTCTTCCAGATCCAGTACTGGGCACCTTACTTCTCCCCCCCCGAACATCAACGACCGACCTTAGGCAGCGCCTTCCCCCGTCCGCAATACCACCAGGGTTTATGCTCGACCTCGGTTGCCCAGACGTTGAACTCCCAGTCTGTGGAAGGGCTGGACCTGGAGCTCCAGAACGAATGGGTTGAACTGGTACTCCTCAGAGACACCGCCGAGTCTTCTGCGGAGAAGAAGAGAGTGGTGACACGCTGCAAGCGGGCGCTGTGGTGTATGGGCCGCCTCCTTGGTCCCTCTTGGGGCAACGACAGCGAGGTTGCTTATATGATACCGTGGGAGCTAGAAAGGATTTCCGAGCGTGTATATGGCGATCCAGACCATCTTCGACTTCCTGTTCCACACAGCCATATACCTGCCAGTAAGCAGAGAGATGTAGTCAGCCTGCCGACCATCATATTGCCTACATGGAGAAATATCCGCGACCTAGTAGCTGTTATGGCTACTATCACGTATCTTACTGACAAGGTAAAAAAGCGACGGAAGATATTAAAACAGCGAGCATTTAACAGGGGCTACGAGTTTGACTTACCAGACTTCCTCATAACCAGATGCAACGCAACAGATACTATGCCAGAAGCAGATGGGGTTTCTGCACTACGAGAGTTTTTGACCCAGACCGAGCCGCCGCAATGGGATGTTGCAGAGTCTATAGAAGCTATGGGAGATGGAGTAGAGGAGGTAGGAGAGGATAGTGAAGCTGAAGAGAGGGGAGATGAGGATGAAGATTTAGAGAAAGAGACTGAGGATGAAGACATAGATGAAGAGACTGAGGATGAAGATATAGATGAAGAGACTGAGAATGAAGAAGTGGAGGAGGAGGCTGAAGATTAAAAAGAAATAGGGATTTAAGTATATAAGCTAATTAAATTAAATTATATTATAAATAGTAATTAACTAATAAAAATAAAATTAGAAGAACTAAGCTACTAAGTGGGAAGTGGTGACCTTAAATTACAGATTTAAAGGCTTGTAACTAGCTTATATATATAAACCCTAGTCTAGTTATTACAAAATACGTTATTATATTATAGATAGTATTTATAAATACATTTCCTAGTACCAAATGCAGTAATAGCAGATGCGTGAAGAGGAAAAGAGGCAAAAAGAAATAGAAGGGGTCATCCAAACTGGGCAAAAAATATATGTCTAGGAAGAGAAAAAAAAAGCTCTACACAGCCAGCCAGGCAGCACCGGGATTCAAACCCGGACCTATTCCTTAGCAAGAGGAACGCTCTAACCCTTAAGCTGTACAGCCTCTTCCCCTTCGAAGTTAACAACGTCGACATGATACCGAGACATGAGGCTATTCCCACTCCTACACATACTAGCAGCCCAGGTTGACGTCAGGCAGTTATGAGTAGCAGAAGTATGATGGACCCACTTTTAGAGAAGCCTAAGGACCTTGTTCTACGCCACCCCAGCTGTCATGACCCACGTTACAACGGCACAGTCAGGTCACAACAGCACAGTCATAAGCACACATGTAATAAGACACGCTCTTCCTCCGGGCGTCTATGCATTGGTTGTTCCCAAATTCAGCCCGACGGCGCCGGGCAATCTAGCAGACTACGCAATTCAGTTGGTTCAAACCAGGTCAGGTTGTCTTGGCGTTGGTATAACAGCATGTGACCAAGCTCGGATGCAGGGCACACCGCTGGACCGTTGGTTGCTCCAACTGGGCGCCGCCGAGACTCCACCCGGATTGGCCCTTCCCCCGGCCCAAAGTTGATTTAGCTAATCGTTCGTGTTGCTGGCATGCGGCACCATTTCCCTGAGGCGGCGCCTATGAGTTGGTCACTCTCAAGACTGTGCTGCAAGCGCCGGGTTGAGCGGGGCCGGATTGAGCGGAGCACACAACGCAATTGGATTGGGCATGGTAGCCCAACTACGTTGGCTCTACTGTGCTGGTTCTACCGTGTTGGCTTGGCCATGTGGGTTTTTAGGGCCAGCAGCACCTAACCAAGGTGGTTAGTTTAGGTTGTTGGTTGTGCTCAAAACACCTCGCCACAACGCCAGCCTCATCAGCCTAATCCTTTTGACCTAGACTCACCCACTTCCACCAATCAGAACGATGGCCTTTTAGTCGCCAACATCTCCATCCCTTTCCCCAAACGCCTCCGAGTTAGTTGTTTCACAGTTATATCCCGCGGGCGTTGGGTTAGGCCAATTCATATATAGCATATAATTACGTAGTAAAGATAATGAGATGGGAGGGTTATAATTAGAGATAGAAATAAAAGAAGATGATAAATAGGGAAGGTAGTAGAGTCGGGGCGTAGAAAGAAAGGAAAAGCAGAAAGTAAGTTAGAAAGAAGAGTATTGCTTAGTATTGGGTATATTATTCTATTAATATACAGATGCTAACTTATACATTCTCTATAAATGAAACTTCTACCCTGTTCTCCTAAGGTCCTATTGTTCATCTTGTCAGCCGCTGTACCGTTGAAATATTAACTTGGCTGCAGGAGTATGGATGATCTGTACACTACTTGTAAAGGATATATGCGCTATAAGACACACCCCATTCTTCATGGCTGCCGGTTTGGCATACTTTAAACTTCTTCTGATAGCTCCGGGCCTCGCAGGTGTAATAGTTATGCTCATTATTAGTATGACTGCAAACGTCACACCATCCGTTGCGTCCTGAGCTTGCAGACATTGTGTTTGTTTGTTGTAAGGTTAAGGTAGCTGTTCATCTTTATAGTATAAGTATAATGCTTTCTAAGACATAAGGCAGAAAAGGGGCATACCTTATAATATAACTGAAATTGAAGCTTTTGAATATAAGTCTAGAGAGATTGACTGAGAATTTAATTAGGAAATCAACAGATGAAATTGAAGAGTGATATAGAATAAGACCCAGCACTGGGGGGAAGAGAGATCAATTGTATTATATAGACCTATTGCTTATACTATTACCATGATCATTTACGCGCCGAGTCTGGTCTGCGTAGGGATTCTTTGATGAAGTGTGTGTGTGTGGGGGGGGGGGGGGCTATTTCAGGAAGCGCGCGTCAAACCCATAGTGGATTTACAGAAGCAGGAAGGCGGTGTGCTAAGAAAGTGCTAGCTACAAAGCCCCACCCATGCCCTCTTCGCATCCTTTTACATCTTTTCCCACTTTACATCGTTCGAACCAACAATAACATTCTTCTACGTTATAACAAATCATGAACAATGAAATTCGGCCAAGCGCTGAGTCTTACTACGCCGCATATGTAAACAGTTTCAAGTTATGGTCTGGATTACGAGGCCAAGCGCGAAGGAACCCGGCGCTCCTACCTTACGCCATCTCACTCAACGATGCCTTCTCTCAGCATCCCTGTTTACGGCCAGACACGAGAATCAACCATGTTCGGTACTAGAGATATAGCCGAGCATATGTCAGCGGGTTCTCAGAATGGGGTTCTTCGTCATCGGGCTGCTAACAGGAGATGCCTTCATTTCGTCAGCTAGTAGACATTACAGTCTTAGCGAAGGATCCGATCCCTCTTTGCATTGACCAGAGTTGATATAAAAATAACTACTACAAAAGCTGGTTCTTACTTGAGGATCGAAACTACGTCTCTATCCTCATGTTAGCATGGGCATATGTACTATCGGCTCGCTGGACTGAGCTTGCGCTGAGAGAAGGCTCTATTATATATACGGACAGTCAAGTATCGGCCCCAGAATATCCGAATGAAGATTCTCATCAGACTTCACCTACAAGCATATTCATTGGGGCATGCAGTTTTCAGGAGGCGCGCTGGTGGGCTGCGGTCCTGGCACCCGGCAGAGGGTGGCAAGCGATGATGGCCATATAAGAAGACGAGCTATTGGCATCATGGTCCATTTCTTTAGCCTTGAGCCCTAGTCTCTGTATTTCTAGCCAGCAAAATCCGGCATCGTCCACATCAGTCTCAATAACGAGCAGAGCAGCATCGTCTTTGGAAGCCATTGCGTTTCTCGACAAATTTTGCTATCTTCATGAACTCCATGATCAAAGCTCAGCCGCTCTAGCAGCTGTTCTCCTACTCCCCAGCCTGCGAGGGACCCCGTCCTTAACTTTGCCAGCACTGAAGATGGGTGGAGGCGGACTGGAGAGCTCATGCAACATCACATCCGTGTCATCTGCTAAAGCACAGCCTGGAGGTGGCGATGGAGGGCAACGACGCCGCCACCGCATGCCTCGGCATCAAGACGTGGATAGACTCCTTACCTTGAGCTGCCACGTTAAAGGACTTCAGAGCATTTTGCTAGGGGTTTTCTTCGAGCCAGGCGTGGAATGCAATAAGGCAGGACTATGGTTGCAGGGAGCATTACACGTCGCCGACTCGTTGGTCGCAACTGAGCCATGGGTTCTAGGGCGAATGCTGATGGACCGGCTACCCGAGGCCGCCCCTCTCTGGCTGGGAGTAACGATACTTGGCCTTCAGCAGAGATATATCAGGCAAGTTGGCTTTGGGCAAATACCGACTGACTTGAACGCTGCTGCATGGTCTGGTACTATGCAGTCATTTATTCAGGAGCCTTCAGCTGACCATTCTGGTGGGCCTGCATGGATATCCCGTGCAGACGAGTGCTGCCTCCTTTTCCTTTCTTAAGCGGAAGACCATTCCCGTGCACCCGTTTGTCAATGGGCGCCCTTTGGCACTACTGCTATTGAGCAGTTAGACATCGAAGCCTGAATACACCGAGACTGCCTGCGGCTATGGCCTCCGATATAAGGGGTTTACTTGGGTTTGTATAGGCGATGAGTCTAGGGTTGAACAGTCCACTCTTGTGGCTCCCGCCAATGCTCCTAAGGCATCCACCTCTCCTTGCATCCAGCGACGTAGCGTGGACTCTACTATTGCCGGAAGACCTGGATCATACCTAAGGAGTTCATATCAGAAGTTGCTAATGCGGAGTATATTTAGCTGGCTACGACCTGATGGCTATGCGTTAGATGAGAAGCAAATACGGACATATGAGTGGCTTGATATGCCTGGGAGTGATGAAGAGGAGGAGGATGAGGATGAGGATAATGAGAGTGAGATTAAGTCATTCCGTCATGTTTCATTATGGATTGAAAACGTAGAGGTGCGATTAGAGGACCTATGCCGTTGTGGGAGAAAGGAACGCTAGTAGACTAGAGAGATAAACAAGCCGGAGCCATTTTAGTATAATGGATTAGAGAGAGGAAAGCCGGATTTGGGTTCAGCTCGCAAGCCCGGTCAAGTGCGGGGCCGGGGGCAACGTTATACCAGGCCGGACCGGCAGTTGGGGCCGCAAGAGGCGATGGCGAGGGCCGAAAATAAGACCCGCGGTCTCCGTTAAAAGTGGGCCCGGAAGGAGAGGTTGAATGTGCTCATAAGGAAATCAGGAATGCAGTACGTAATAATAAGAGAGGGATAGAAAGGGTCCGGCGTAGGGTTATGGGAATTAGTGTAGTATATGATGAGTATAAGGGAAAAGAAAGAGAATATAGTAAGCTAGTGTCATAAAAGTATTACATGGGTTAGATAGGTAGTAAGGTTGAGAAAATAATGATTATGGAGATTATAGGAGGAAAGGATGTTAGTATAGGAGTTAAAGAAAGAAGTAAGTTATCAAGGTTAGAAGAGAAGTAATATGTATGAGGGTTAGAAAGAGAAGATAGAGACATGAGTTGAAAAAAGGAGAAGTAAGAGTTGAAGTTATAGTAAAACGAGGTAAAAAAGAGTAGAAGTAAAGGTATGGAGTAAAGTAAGAGGCATAGAGTAAGGTAAGAGGCATAAAGTAAGGTACGAAGTATAGGGTAAGGTAAGTGTAGGTGCAGTAAGAGGTTAAAGAGAGAGTAGTAGGGGTAGGGGTAACTAGTAGTAAAGTAAGGTAAGTATTAGTACAGGGGAGATTTTAAAGAAAAGGTAGTAAAGATGGAGGTAACCCGTAGTAGGGCAGGACAAGTGGGAGTGTAGTAGAGTGTAAAAGAGAGAGAGGGTAGTAGAGTTGGGGGTAACCCGTAGTAGAGCAGGGCAAGCGGCAGCGCGGCAGGGAGGAGGAGAGGGGGTAACCGCTGATATATGAAAATTAGAGGAAGAGAGCGAAGGTGAGAGTTAGAAGGAGAGTATAGATATGAAGATTAGAAGAAGGAGTAGTTATGTGAGGATTAGCAGAAGAGTGTGAAGGTGAGAGTTAGGGGGAGAGTATAAAGGTGAGAATTAGAAGAAGAGTATAAATATAAAGATTAGAAGGAGAGATATATATATGAGAATAAGAGGGAGAGTGTAAGAGTGAGAGTTAGAAGGAGGG